TTATTATTACTATTACTATTATTATTATTATGCCATTGATCCCTTACATCTGTATGGTGTTCCTCAGACGAGGTCGACGGCTGGTCGTGATGTGCAGCAGGGCAAGTCCAGGGGAGGTAAGCAAGTTCAAGCTAGTCTTGGACCAACTGGCCTGCTACAGCGACCCAAGGGAACTCCGCGTCATCCTGCTCGAGCCCAATAGTAGGAAACGACTCCGAGTCTTTGTGGAACCCAACTGCGCATGCCCTTGTAGTAGTAGCAGCAGCAGCACCACCTCCTCCTACACCACCACCACCCTCTCCTCCTCACCCTCCTCCTCCTCCTCCTCCTCCTCTTCATCCCCCTCTTCATCCTCCCCCTCTTCATCCCCCTCTTCATCCTCCACCCCACAAAATGCTGACGTCATTAGGAATGGAGGAGGAAGAGGAGGACGACGACGAGGAGGTGGGCGTTCCGAAAGTGAGCCGTCCGCAAGAGGAAGGCGTTCCGAAAGCGAGCGGTCCGCAGTTGCCGCTCCGGCGTGTGTCGCAGACTGCGGTGCTGCCTGGACCACGCCGCTATCTGATGGGACGTGCAACAACGACATGTGCCATGCCACGGCGCCCGAGTCACCCTGTTCTGACAACGGCGTCTGTGTGTGTGGTCAGTGTGCATGTGGACGTCCGGCGTCCGCCGAGGACAGGAGAATCGCCTCCATCTTCACTAACATGCCTGGTAAGGCCTGACACACTTTAAACAATGATGAAATGGTTTACGTTTAACCCCCTCCCCCTATCAACACTAAAAGGTTAAAGAGTTTAATGCTTAATGTTAAAGAGAGTTAAACATCTCTCTCCGAAAGGACCTAGTCAAATGGGAAATTCATGTAAAGTGCCATTCCCAAGGTCAAAACGTCGGACCGAACTGGGGCTCAAACCGAACCAATCTTAACCAACATCCTTGGTAAGGCCTGACAAGAAAAAAAGGTGAACTTTAATGGTTAAGATCACCCCTATCAATACTAATTGTTTACTAAGTAAAGAGGCGGGCCTCCGAGTTTAACGTCCAACCTCGAAAGGACCAAGCCAAATGGGAATCACCTCCATCTTCACTAACATGCCTGGTAAGGCCTGACACGAAAACAATATCGTGAATTAATGGTCAGGTTTAACCCCCTCCCCCTATCAACACTAAAGGGTTAAAGAGTTTAATGTTTAATGTTTAAGAGAGTTAAACATCTCTCTCCGAAAGGACCGAGCCAAATGGGAATCATCTCCATCTTCAGTCTTCACTAACATCCCTGGTAAGGCCTGACACGGGAAATGGGGAAATTTTAACTTTAGAAGTTTTTTATACACCCCTGTCAACTCATACGAGTTATTTAAGAGGCGGGACCCCTGAATTTAACGTCCATATCCGAAAGGACCTAATCAAATGGGAAATTCATGTAAAGTGCCATTCCCAAGGACTAAACGTCGGACGGTGCCGGGCTCGAACCCGATCCAATCTTAACCACCACCCTTGGTAAGGCATGACACGATTTTTATAAACGGTAAAATGGTTTATGTTTAACCCCCTACCTCCTATCAACACTAATTGGTTATTAAAGAGGTGGGACCCCCGAGTTAAAAGTCCATTTCCGAAAGGACAGAGCCAAATGGGAATCACCTCCATCTTCACTAACATCCCTGGTAAGGCCTGACTAGGAAAAAATATGGTGAATTATTGGTTTAGGTTTAATCCCTTCCCCCTATCAACACTAATAGGTTATTAAAGAGGCGGGACCCATGAGTTTAACGTCTATCTCCGATAGAATCGAGCCAAATGGGAATCACCTCCATCTTCACCAACATCTCTGGTAAGGCCTAACAATGGTGAATTTTTAACCCCTTCACTGCTGAAAAATGTCCGCCAACATCTGTAGGCTAGGAATATTTAAACACAGAGAATTGTTTCAGAATAAGCATAATCACAAGCTATAACTTTACCAAAAGAAACTTCCCCTTGTCAAACCGGATGAAACAGTACGTGTATAAGTGGAGAATACAAGCCAGAACATATGTCTACTCAGCAGTGAAGAGGTTAATAGTAGAAATTTTTAACACCCCTGTCAACTCATAATAATATGAGTTATTTAAGAGGCGGGACCCCTGAATTTAACGTCCATCTCCGAAAGGACCTAATCAAATGGGAAATTCATGTAAAGTGCCATTCTCAAGGACTAAACGTCGGACAGTGCTGAGGCTCGAACCCTAATTATTACAAAGTTCTATCTCGCTGAGTATCTAGTTTTGGGAAATTTGACGTAAAAATTTTGAGTTTCGCAGCATGTAAAGCTTTTTTTAAAAACGCAATTTTTTTAAATATCTTGAAAACAGCCCCGAATTATCTTACGATTTTGATAGAGCAGATAGAACATTAATTGGTTTCTGACATTTAGTTTGTCTTTGTAACCCAAAACGACCAAAATGTCAGTTAAACTTTGTAATTCTAAGACAGCGATGTGTCCTCATCACCACCACCTATCCCGTAGTAAGGCTGCCCTTTGAGACACTACTGCACAGTTTACTACATGGGTGTTTGGTGGGTGCTCTGGTGTGGTTTACTCCTTCTTTCTTAGCAAGCATCTATCGTCCTTATCTCTACCCCCTTCTTTTTGTGTTTGTTACTCTCTTGTAACACCTCTAATCTTCGGCACTCATATGACCTAATTGTGTTGCAAATGCTGTATAACTCTTAATAAAGTTAAAACAAAACTAACTCATCATCACCACTAGTTATAGCAGCAACACGAACTACCACACAACTACAACAACAGTAACAACAACAATGGTACAAAATAAAAACCCAAACACCAACAAAGAGTAAGTAAACCAAACAACCACTTGTGAATCATATGAGCAGGTGGTAAAGAGTACTATTATATTTTTGATAATGTTTGTTTGAATCTACTCCACTTTCCCACTGCCCCCCCCCTCCACACCTTCTCTTTTCTCCTC